GGAGAGCCTCTACTCCCAATAAAGCTCTTCTAAAAGTAAATTTCATCTCACCTTCCTTTCTATGAACCTTCAGTATTCTTTATATCTTTAACATACACCAGCATCATGGTATACTTGGAGTGTAACCTCATGGAGAATCCTGTCTCCTGCCTTCATGATTTTGAAGAATAAGGTGAGGTTTCTACCAAGTCCTCGCCTTCCCTGACCACAGTTTCTCCCTCCTTTGCCTCATCTGCTTCAGAACCACCCCAGGTAGGCACACATGCCCAGTTTGAGAAGAGGCCTTCCTACAGAGCTGTCCTGCGGTATACCAAAGTCACGCGCCGTAAGTGGGATACAGAGGAAAACGGTCCCCTCAGGGAGGATGGAGAAAAAGAAAGCCATTCCTGTTTAAAACCAGAAAGGAGATCATACGTGGCAAACTAACAGCCACATGACAGGGAGGGGAGTTTTGGAGAAAGAGTAAGAAACCCAAAACGTTGGGGCAGCCCCAAGTGTTAGGGAAAGCAGGCTTAGAGAAGAGGAGAAGGAAAGAGGGGCTACAAAGTGCAGCTCTGGAGAATTCCAAAGGGCGTACAGACTCATGGAGTTACAGCCTGATAAGCTACTGCAGGGCAAGGATTCTGGGCAGGAAAAGTAATCATTTCACTGACTCACTAGCTATTCCAACTATCTCTTTAGCATGACTTAAGGTGAACCCCCCCCCCTTCCTAGAGTTCACCATGACCTGGCTGAGCTGGAATGTTGAGGCTTTACCCAAGCCAGAGATTTTTATTCTCATGACCAGTTTTCTCTTAAGAGGTTCTTTTTTGCTATTGTAACAAGTGGAACCGGAAATGATAGGGTATTGGGTGAGAAACAAAGCTCTGTGCACCTTTAATTCCAGCACTCAGGAGGCAGAGGCAGGTGGATCTCTATGAGTTCAAGGCCAGCCTGGTCTGCATACTGACTTCCCAGCCAGCTGGGACTACAAAAAGACCCTGTCCCCTCAAAAAACAAACAAGCAATAATGCCACTGTACAGGGCTAGAGAGATGGCTCTGTAGTTACAAATACTTACTACTTACAGGAGACCCAGGCTCAGTTCCCAGTACCCACATGGAGACTTACAACATTCTGTCACTCCTGTTCTAGGTAGGGGATCCAAGGCCCTCTTCTGGCTTCCATGGGCACAAGGCATGCATATGGAGCACACACGTGCATGCAAAGAATAAAAACAAATCTTATTTTTATAAATCTTCTTAATGAAAAAGAAAAAGACCCCAGCAGTAAACAACCCAGAAGTCTCAAGTCCTATTTCCCAAGCATTCTCCCTCCTCTTCCTGACAATATAGCTGTCCCCTTGATAAAAAAACAAAACACTTCAGAAGTCTTGACTTCTAACAGCTGAGGCTAAACTATTGAGCACTGGAGAGAGATTGTTCTTCCTGCCCTGTGAGTGTCTGAGCTCGTAAAGAGATGATGCTGGGCAAAAAGAGAGATAATGCTTGAGACTTAATAGAAAAAAACGCTAGAGAAGATGGTATTGAAAAGACTTGTAATTATATTTAACTGGAAATGATACTGTATTCTGCAGAGAGGGAATTAAGAGGAAGATTCTTCCAAAAACTTGCATGGTAGGAGTGAACTGTCACCATATGTGTATGTCCTGGCTTTTATCTTTTAAAAAAATGTTTTAAGACATTACCATTGAAATCTACCTGATGACTTTATATCCATGCTCAGATGCCTAGAAGCTCAGAAAGTAACCAACTGTGACTAGTAATAATCAGATATTTAGAGATTAGAAATGCATGTGCAAACATCCAATGTCAATTGCATTGAAAAAGAATTTTTCTATATGAAACTGTGTATTTTAATAATGAAATGGAGATCATTTTAAAGGTTAAAACATCATTTAATTTATGTCTTATAGGGTTTATACTGAGTACAATATTGTATAACTGTAATAATTCAACTGTAAACCTAAAAATTTACAGCCAAAAACTTCGTTGTATATATATATTTATGTCACCTGCTTCAATTTATTTCTGGCAAAATGTGTTTAAAATTGCCTCTCTTTGGAAAAATAAAAAAAAATGTTTTAAGGATTTCATACATCAGTCTACTCTGTTTAATCACCATTCCATTTAGTGTTGCTCTTCTATGCATGTGTTTAGGGCTGACCACTTGGGATTGGATAACCTATTAAGGACTCATGCATGAAAAAGAACTGATTCTTCTTCCTCAGCAGCCACGGACCATCTGTAGTTCTTCATCTAGGGGTGGGACCTTGTGAAATTTCCCCTAGCCCCATTGGCATGTGGACTGATGTGGTCATCATTCAAGTCTGGTTTAGGCAACCATATTGCTACAATTTCAAGGGGGCATCTAGAAGATGCGACCTCACAGCAGGTATCCTGGACCTCTGGTTCTTAGACTCTTTCCACCCCCTCTTCCGAAATGCTCCCTGAGCCTTAGGTGTAGGGATTGTGTTGCGGATGTACCAGTTAGAGCTAGGCACCCATGACACTGGTAAGGCAGAGACCAGTTGAGAATTTCCCACTCCCCAGGTTTGACTAAATCTCTAAAAAAAAGTTTATTTTTCCATTTCTCTATTTACTATGTCATTTTCCCTTAATACAGAGATCATTTGGACCCAGAGCTAGGCCTTATGGCTGGGTAACAATACTGTGTGATAGTTAATCTTTGTCAGTTTGCTTGACTGAGAAACCCTACAGAAGTAAATAAAGTACACCTCTTAGTGTGTCTGTGAGGGCGTTTTCAGACAGGATTGACCAAGGGGGGGGAGACCCACCCTGAATATGGGGAGCGCCATACCACAGCATAAACAGGAAAAGGAGAGCGCCACCAGCTCAGGTGTTCTCTCCTTTGCCTCAGGCCACCATCCTGTGAGCCGCTCCACCAGCCACACCCTGTCGGTTATGATGGAGTGAAGCCACGAGCAAAAATGTTTCTGTGAGATATTTAGTCCAAGATGAAAAGTCCAAAACGACTAGAAGAGATTATCCGATGAGGTGGGGCTAGAGATGACTCCAAAGACAGTGCTTGGGGAGGGGAGGTTTCCTAGAGACAGCAAAGATCAGCTGCTGGGGGGTGGCGGGGAGAGCAGGACCAGGCAATGCTATATGACAGGGGCCTGCCCGAGAACCTGACAAGACCTCAGGGAAGTGGCTCTGTGGTACACCCAGGAACAGCAGCTCTGGCAGCTTGAAGGTGTGACCCCAAACCATCAGAGGCATCCTTCGTGAGAATCTGAGGCTCCACACAGAGATGCTCAACAGTAAACAGGGAAAGGACTTTGAGAAGGCGATGTTGGAGGGTACCCCTAACCCATTCCAACTGTGCTGGCCAACCCCCAGCTCTGTGGCTTAGCTGGCTTGGACCTCTGCAACAAAATTCCATAGCTGGGTCGCTTAAAATAACAGAAACTTAATTTTCTCACATTTCTAGCGTCCAGAAGCCTGAGATTAAGGTGCTAGCAGTTTTCTCCCGAGGCCCCTCAACTCCCAGATGGCCATCTTCTCCTATTAGCCTCACAATGGCCTCTTTTTATAAGAACACCAGGCATGTTGGAGTAGGACCCTCCCTGATGGCCTCACTGCAACCTGATTAATTCTGTGTAAATATCTCATCACCCAACACAGTCATACACTGAGCCACTGAGGGTTACAAACTTTGAAGGGGACACAGTTTAACCCATAATGCCCACCACCTCCCACTATACCTCAAAAGCTTATGAAATGATGTGCTCCATTGCCTCAAGGCTCTGGGGGCTGCTCAGGCCTTGAGGACCGCCCCTGCCGCAGTGTGCATTAGCAGGTTTGTAGGTGGAGTCCTGAGCATCCATATCTGTGACAACTAAGAAACAACCCCTCACCAACCTCAGCTGTAGTTTTTTGGGACTGGGCTAATGAACAGGTGAACAAACTGGACACCATCAAATGTGCCAGTGAATACTGAGACAGGGGAGTGCTGATCGTTTTGCAGGGTCCCAGGTGTTCATGCCTACAGCAATCTTAAGGCCTCTCCCCTGATTATCGCCTTCTGTTCCTCCCCTCTGCCAAGTTACTCAGCAAGCACTGCACACTACTTTCTTGCCTGTGTGAACACATCTGATGGTCAGGTAGTACTCTTTCTTCGTAGTATAAGGTTTACAGCTCACCTCCTAACTGGATTACAATGCTCTTGATTTCCTGAGACCCGTACCTACAGGCTTGTCCACAAGCAGGTGATCCCTTAGCATGCAATGGACTAGGTTCCAGGAAAGGCAACTTGACACAACTCAGAATCACCTGGGAGACGGGCCTCTGAGCCTGGCTGTGGAAGATTATCTTGATTACATTAACTGAATTAACTTGATTACATTATCTGAACACCACGGGTCACCCCATTCCCCAGGCAGGGATCATAGATTGTATAAGAGTAGAGAAAGCATTGGGTAGGGCAGTGCACTCCTTTAATCCCAGCACTCAGGAGGCAGAGACGGGTAAATCTCTGAGATCAAGGCCAGCCTGGACTACATAGTGTGTTTCAGGCCAGCTGGGGGCACAGGGAGACCCTATCCCAGAAGACAAAAAACCCCAGTACTGGGAAAAGCAGCCGAGCACCGGCATGCGGGAGCATCTCGTTCTCTGACTACCAGCGCCATGTGGCCTCCTGCCTTAGGCTCCCGCCTCTTGTTTTCCCGCCACGATGAACTTAAACATTGAAATATGGGCAAAAACCTCTTCCTCCCATAGTTGTGTTTGTCCTAGTATTTTATCACAGTAACAGCAAAAGAAACTCAGGCAGTGGCCGAAAAGACTCTAAGCAACTGAGTGACACGCTCACGTTATATAGAATGGAAGGAAATCACGAGGAGCAGGGTGGCCCCGGAGGAATGGAGCTGGAACCTGGTGCTGGATCAGTTCCCTCCATTTCCACACATACAAACTCAAGGAAAGGCTTTTCCCAGAATATTTCCATACCAACAAAGAGCTCACATCTTTCTGTGCAAGATTATTTTTCCTGGTTGTTTCTGTTTAATCGGCGTTGGGGAAAATGACAGTGTTCGCAGCACAAAGGTTGGTGGAGTGGGGATGAGAGCCGTGGAGAATGAAGGAAAGAGAAGGGGCTGGAAAGCAGCTGCGTCGGAAGCAAGTGTGCTCTGCCGAGAGGCTGTGGAAGTAGTTGCTGCTGCCCTGGGCTGCCCTGGACAAGGACACATGCTGGTCCAGGCAGGATCTTTAGCTGTTCACAGGACGACAGGGATCTTCTCCTTGATGGGAGAGGGGGGTGTTGAATTCCCGCCCAGGAGCTTCTTGTCTGACTCTTCCTCATCCTGAGGATAAAATAAGAGGAAGAAAGCAATAAATGGGAGAAAAAGGATGGGGCAGAGTTAGCGTCGTAGAACTTGAAACCAGGGAAGAAAGAAGAGACAGGGCAAGGTGGCAGGAGGTGACCCAGGGGAAAGACAAGGAAATAGAGAGGAGTTAGACAAGAATCTGGACAGAGCAGAAGAGGAAGGCATGGGGGAGGCACGAGGTAGCAGAAATCAGCCAGGCCATGCAATGGGGTTACGTTACCTAGACACCCGTGGAGTCACATTCCCTAGATACACATGGAGTCACATTCCATAGACACACGTGGGGTCACATTCCATAGACACACGTGGGCTCGCATTCCCTAGACACACATGGGCTCACATTCCATAGACACACGTGGGCTCACATTCCCTAGACACACGTGGGCTCACATTCCAGAGACACACATGGGGTCACATTCCATAGACACACGTGGGCTCGCATTCCCTAGACACATGTGGGCTCGCATTCCATAGATGCACGTGGGGTCACATTCCCTAGATACACATAGGGTCACATTCCATAGACACACGTGGGCTCACATTCCATAGACACACGTGAGCTCACATTCCATAGACACACGTGGACTCACATTCCATAGAGACACGTGGGCTCGCATTCCCTAGACACACGTGGGGTTACATTCCATAGACACACGTGGGGTCACATTCCATAGACACACGTGGGGTCACATTCCCTAGATACACGTGGGGTCACATTCCCTAGACACACGTGGGGTCGCATTCCATAGGCACTCGTGGAGTCACATTCCCTAGACACACGTGGGCTCACATTCCATAGACACACATGAGCTCACATTCCATAGACACACGTGGACTCACATTCCATAGACACACGTGGGCTCACATTCCATAGACACACATGGGGCCACATTCCCCAGACAGTACAGGGAAGAGCTGCATATCTGACTGAGATCAGGCCTGACCTCAGACTTGACAATTCCTGGCCCTGGTACTCCTCTCTGTTCACAAACTTTCAACTGCCTAGACCCACACTGTTCAGCAAAGCCTCCCTGAGTACTCACCAGGGGCCGGGGGCTCTGGCCACACACACTTCGCAGACTCAATCCCAGGGAAGCCAAAGATACAACGATCTTCAGAATACAGACAACTGTGAGCAGGATACAGAACGCTAGGAACATGTTCTAGTGGAAACAGGAGAAAGACACAGCCAAGAGTCAGCTCCTCGATTGGCACCATCACCTCACCAAGCCACACGCAGTCCGGACTGTCCAACCTGATACTCCCCCATAAGGCAGATGGTTTCTTCCAGCAATGGGGTGCCCACCACTTCTAAGCCATTTGCTGGTCTGCTACTCTTATCAAAGCCGACTCTGTCTACCCCCTCAAATCCAGAAGGGCCTTTGACTGATTCAGCCAGTACAATGCACAGAAGTGGCCATGTCTTTGATGGGCAGCCCTTCACTGACCTAGCCTCTTGACAAGCTTATGGTGTTTCCCACCTGGGACCTGATTGCTACACTGAGACCCCAGAGCCACATAAAGAATCTACTGTAGGCTTCTAGCTGACAGTCCAACTGAGCTCCCAGCCAGGGGTTACAGCAGCTGCCCATCATGTGAGTGCTTTAGCCAATGCCCAGCCCAGGAAGCCCTCAGATGACCACCCACACCAATACCTTCCTGCAGCTGCATGGGAAACCCAAGTGAGACCAGCTCATCTGAACCCAGGCAACCCAGATAATGATAAGAAATAATCATGAAGTGGTATTTGAAGCCACAACATTTTGGGGAGATTTCTTGTGCAGCAATCAATAACCACAGCAGTCATTCAACAGGAAAGACAGAGAAGTGACCCACAATCTCCTCTCTGTCCTTCAGCCTCATTGATGATGAGAATCTTTGTGTATAAAGGTCCAAAAGATGTCCTCAGCTTGAATGGCAGCTTCTTAAACCAAAGAGCTAGGGTGAGGTCCAAATGCAAAGAACCTTCAACCCTGCCCTCCATCGGGGTGCCACGCTTTGAGAGCACGGGTTGTACTGGGTCCCAGGAACACCGCACGTTTGCTCTTACCATCATCATCCTCATGTATCTTCTGCACACCTCCCTCCTCCAGTCTGAATAGTCACTGAGTTCCATTATCCTGTACCCACTGTCTATACTAGAGACGTCACTTGAGGCGTCACACGAGGAACTGATATCCGTGTAGTACGTGTCGCTCATTTGCCAGATTAAACTCCTTACACCCAGAACAGTAGCAGCCACAGCTGTAGCAATGCAAGCCAAGGTGAGCAGACATGATACATGGCCCTAGAAGAGAGAGAGAGAGGGCCAAGATGCCCGTGCTATTCATCCCTGGCAGTCACAAAGCCCCTGACTCAAACTTGCCCCGTCACCCTCAACTTCTGTCACAGGGGTCCCATCCCAACCCTCTAAGAGAGACTTCATGATATTGGGAACCAAAGGATAAAAGACAGAAAGGTGAACAGGAAAAAGAGGCACAGGAAGAAGTGGATGGACAAGGTGGAGAGAGAGGAGCCCAAGACTCACCGACAGTTTGCCCTTCCGCTTCTCATGGACAATGGCCCCTGCTCCCGCTACAATTGCCTGGGAAAAGAAGACACCAGTAACGGCCTCCAGTTTACTCTCCTGGATGGGTCTCCCATCACCCTTCCTCCGGGGCTTCCCAGAGCAACACAAATCAGGATTCAAACCACAAGCAAAGAAACCCATGTGGAGAGGGATCTACTGGCCAACGCCCCTTCTAACCTTGCCTGAGAGGAGAGAAGCAGGCATCAGAGTGTTCTCCAGCCCCTAAGGCAACTGCCTCATGGCAAAAGGGTATTTGGACTTTGGATCTAAAGCCAAAGGATCTTTCCACTTGCCTGCACAGAGCTTCTAGCCATTCCTTACTCACCACAGACCCAGCCCAGAAGGCGCAGCCAGAGGCACGCAGCTCAATCCATGGCCCGCAGTACAGACACACTCCAAGAGCACAATTCACAACCCCCAGCAATATCTGGGTCACCTGCAAGACAGGAGGAAAAAGATCAACCCTCTTTCCATGGCCTGCACACCCAAGAGCATCAATGCCCTGCTCCAACCCAGGCAATGGGCTTTGACTTGTCCTCTGCCTTAGCCTCTCTTATTCCAGAAAGTTCTGATTTTCTCACATCCATTGAGTCATACTGATCTGTCTCTCTGTCCATTGGCCTCGGAGATTTGGCTCTCTATTCTTTGTTACCTTTTCCTAACATTAACACTTTATGCTGATTCTCACCTCGGTCTCCCTTAAGGATCTTCATCCAATCAAATCCTGGCACCTAATTTCAGCATCTGACCCAAACCTAACTCCTCAGTTCTAACACAATGTTGAGGACTATGTGGTAGACAAAAAGATGTAGTGCTTAGGGGCTAAGGACGTACATCGCTTGGTAGAGGGCTTGCCTAGCATGCGTGAGGCCTTGGGTTCAATCCCCATAAAACCAAATGAGGTAGTCCCTGCCTGTAATCCCAGCGTTTGGAAAGTGGAGGCAGGAGGATCCAAAGTTCAAAGTCATTCTTGGCCACATAGCTAACTTGATGCTAGCCTGGATTACATGAGATCTTGTCTCAGAAAAAAGAAAGATATACCAGTGAGCCCTCTTTACAAAAGAGGTGTGGTTACATATAGCCTACCTTGAGGATTTCTCACCCCAGTCTTTCAAGCTGAGAGCACATGTTTTAGGGATACCTCCCAGCCAGTGATGAACCAAGGTAGAGGTTCAAGGACCATTCTCCCCACCCCATCCCCACCGTGCAGCTCTTCTCACAGGCTGTACTGTGGTCTGATGATCCCCCCTGCCCAGGCTCATCTAGCTGTTTTCAGTTCCTAGGTATAACCCCCAATAAACCACTCAAAGCCTAGAAAACCCATCTGTCACTAACTCCTATATGTCGTGAATGTCCCTTCAGCGCTGCAGACTCATCACGGTTAGTGTCGACTCATCCCCATACCCTAAGGCCGTCTCTTCTGTCTTCTAGGTTCTCTTCATCCTCCCTGAGCCTCTGCAAGTTCCTCACCTTATCTCAAACCCATCCCATCCCTATGAATGCGGACCCCACTGACAAAGGGTTTGGACTCCTGTTTCTCCTCGTTACTTCTGCTATGACATACAAGTGCAGAGCCTTGATCCTTCTTACCTTGGACGTCTCCTGTCTCTACGGCAGCCTGAAGCCTAGATTCCTGCTCCAAATCCACGCACAGCATTCCCACTGCTGAAACTGGCTCAGACTCCTCGCCTGGTCCCTTAGGTAAAACGGCTCTGTATCGGCCATGAGTTCCCCCTCTTCTCTCTTGACTGCCTCAGAACTGGCTGATGCATTCTGGCTTCTGCTTTAGCTCCTTTCGTCTGGAATTCCTTTTCTTCCATAACCTACTGTATCTGTCCAAGCCCGTTCCTTCCTGACTCCTCAGACACCAACTCCTTGGGTGTGATGCTGGGTTCTTACCTCACCTTTTACTCTAGTCATGCTGATCACTTATAGATGATAGCCAAGGGGTCCTCTCTCTGCTCCTCTGTGAAGTGCCCTAGTTATCTCGCCTTGCACTTATAGTCCTTAATCCCTCCGAATTCAAAGAAACAATTGAATTAACAGCCTCAAGAGAGTCTTCCACCTGCTGCCCCACCTTTGGCTGACATGGCCTTTCCTGTACCAAAGAAGAGATGGATCATTCCTTCCCATTCAAGCCTCTCAGAGAAACTCCCAAAGTCTCTCCCCAAATACAATGGGATATAGCGAATTCCCATATCCCTCCTCTTGGGGATCCAATCTAGATTCCTTTTTGCACTCTGTCAAAGAGGAGAGTTCCCATCCTCTAGGTCACCTCATCTCACCTACCAATCCATTCTTACCCCTAGAGTTAGTTGCCCATGGCTTATGCTGGTCTTGGATGGCCTAGTATCCCGAGGGCGAGACAGAAACTTCTTTAGGGAGCCCATAGCTTTCAGCAGCTGCTCCAAAACAGACTTCTGATGGATGTGGATGTTGATGTGGGTGAACTGAGTGGACGGAGGGAGTACAGAGGTCATATCGACTCCGTTCACGGTGACTGTAGTTTGAGTCATCGTTCCTGATGGGGAGAACACAACAGAGATGGATGAAGCATAGGACCTAGGAAGGGTAAAAGGACCAGCATGTGGGTAAAGGGGAGAAGATGGTCTCTCCACCAAACCCTTCCCGATGCAGCTGCAATATCACAGTGTCCCTGATTCGAGGTGAACACACACTACTCCCAGAGCTTTTCACCATGCACAACCCAGGCCTCTTTCCAAAATAACGAATACAGTGTGAGTGTTTGAATATCAAATGTCCCCCACAGATTCGTGTGCTGAATGCTTAGTCCCAGCTACAGTGCTTTAGAAGGGAGGTGGTGCAGACTTAGGAAGTGGGGCCTGGTTGGAAGACATAGGTGAGTAGGGGTGTGCCTTCCAGGAGCACCTGTCTCCTTCCCTCTCCTCCTCTCTTTTCTGTCTCTCTGTTTCTCTCCTCCTCATCCCCCTCCTCCTTCCCCTCCTCCTCTTCTCTGCCTTCTTCTCCTTCTTTGTGGCCACCATGAGGTGAGCAACCTCTACTCCTCACTCCCACACTGCAGCTGCCATGCTATGCTGCCTCAGGCCCAGAGCAACGCACTGACCTCAGACTGAAGCCTCCGATAGTGAGCCAAGCCAAGGAAGCCTTTCCTCCTTGTTTTCCTCAGTACTTTGCTCATAGTAACTTAATAGTACCGAATGCACATAGTTTGTCTAGGGTCCAAGTGGGACACAAAAGGAATGTGAATTGTTTTAGTACACACACACACACACACACACACACTACTTTTACCACTTTAAAAGTTCAAAAAAGGGCTGAGGAGATCACTCAGTGGACAAAGCACTTGCTGTATAGAGATGAGGGCTGGAGTTCAGATCCCAGAACTCACGTAAAAGCAGGGCAGGCAGGATGGCTGCCTGCAACCCCAGCACTGGGGACAGAGAGACAGGGGGTCAGGGAAAGCTGGCTAGCTGGTCTAGCCAATTGGCAAGCTCTGGGTTCAAGTGAAAGAAAGCACCTCAGTAAAGTGGAGAACAACCAACAAAAACCCAGTGTCAACTCTGGGCTTTCACACACACTCACACGTGTGCGTCCATGCGCACACACATGCACCCATATACATGTCAACACACATATATGCAATACACACACACACAAAGTAAAAAAGATATAAAAGGGTGTATCTTTAAAGCCCTTGCTTTCTTCTTTTCTCCCAGTCACCTCCTGCCTCCCAGATGGAAGCTAATGTGACCGGTTTCTAACATGCCCTCCGGTGACAGTTCTTGTGCTCAACGCATATAAAATATCCCTTCTCACCCTTTCTCATGAATGACCACATCATATACACAGTCCTGCACAATACCACGTCGATGTGGCCACATGCTTTAGAGTCATCCTGCATCAGTCCATCCAAAGCGTCTTTATGCATAATAAGTGCCCAGTCATCCTGTGTATGATTCCTGAGTATGACAACTGAGTGGTCTCCAACCCACAGCCAATGTGTTTCCAGCTTCCAGTTACCCTCCAAGGATGTGGCGATTGTCACATAGGTGTGTTACCCCAGGATGGGGCTGCCCTTCTACTGTCAGATGGAGCTCACAAACTCTGATACCTTCTTCAGTTTTACTTTAGGGAAAATACATTCCATTACAGATTTAATTTAATGCAATACATTGCTCCATTTTCAATGCTTATCTTTGACAAATATTTATCTTTATGCAACCACAGTTACAATCAAGATATAGAATTGCAAAAAACTCCCTAGTACCTCCCCCAGTAAATCCCCTTACCCACATGCTTTCTGACCTGCTTTCTGTGACTATTTTAGTAGTTCTCTTACTATGAATGAGGTTGATCATCTTTTTTTATCTTTTTAGTATTTTTTTCTATGTGTATGGGTGTATTGCCTGTATTTTTCTAAGTGCACCTGTATTGTGCAATGCCCATGGAGGGCAGAAGAAGGCACTGGAGTCCCCTGGAACTGGTGTTACCAGACGGTTGTTAGCCGCCATGTGGGTGATGGGAATCAAACCCAGGTCCTCCGTAAGAGCAGCCAGTGCTCTTAACTGCTGAGTCACCTTCTCTAGCTCGTCTTTTTGTATCTTAAGGACCATTTCTTCTTTTATGAGCTTTTCCTTCTTGTTTTACAAACCTCCTGAATTATTTTTTGAAAATCTACCATTGGCAAGATAAGCTCTACATATTTCTTTATGAGCTGTGTTTTATGAGCCAGACATGGTGTTGCATACCTCAATGCCAGCACTCAAAAATCTAAGGTAGGAGGATCGCCACAAGTTCAAGGGCAGCCTGGAAGAGAGAGAGAGAAAGAGAGAGACAGAGAGAGAGAGACAGAGAGAGAGAGACAGAGAGAGAGAGGAGACTTTTTACTTTGCTGTATTTTTATATAGTTTTTCTTTTTAAAAGTATAGTTTAGGGCTGGGGAGATGGCTTAGTGGTTAAGAGAACTGGCTACTCTTGCAGAAGACCCAGGTTCAGTTCCCAGCACCCACATGGAGACTCACAGCCATCTGTAACTCCAGTTCCAGGAATCCAACACCCTCTTCTGACTTCCATTGGCATTGCTCACATGTGGTGCACATATATACACACAGGAAAAACACTCATACACATATAATAAAAATAAAGAAATATTTAAAAAGTATAGTATATACATATAGAATTTCTCATTTTTGTACTTTCTAGGTTTTACATTTTTTGTACTTATACCCTTAGGCACCAGGAAACCTCTATGCCCACCACCGATGCCACCACTCCAGACAGTGGGCTCTGCCCTCCTGCCCTGGTTGCTCAACTGTCCCTCCTCCCAGTGTCCATGAACCTTAGTCCCAGTGTCTCAAACCATAGGGCTCAGTTTCAAAGCCCCCTCCCACAGTTCCTCCCAGAATGCAGATGTGAGGCACTGGTAAACATGGAGGGCAAACCCAGGCTCTGACCTTCTCAGCCCCAGCCCTATTTCTAGGGTCATATCTCTTGTTTAGCATGCCCCCCCATCCCTAGAATTCCTATGTCAGGATGCAGCTTGTAGACCAGGTTTGGAGGCTCCTAGAGAGAATGAGGGGTCCTGCTCCAAGGTCTTCAGGGTAGGGGCCACTGGGGAAGCATGGAGGGCTCTGCCTTACCTGCTGTCCTCTGAGAGAAGTGGAACTGGAACTGGGAGGGCTGAGGAGCTGCCTTGGAGCTGATGACCCCACCGGATGGATGAGGGTGGAGAGCAAGAACAGGGGAGGCAGGATGGGAACCTGACCAGGCTCCTTGCAACTTCCCAGCAAGTATCTGACACTGAGGGGCCCCTCTTGGGGGGTTCCTTCTGGATTAGATGATGAGGCTTGCTGGAGCAGGGACGCAGGTAACACACACATGTACACATACATACCCCTACTCACCACACACACCCAAGGCACACACATTTGCAGTATAGGCCCACACTTGTTCAGAAAGCTCTGGCCTACCTGGGGCCAGAGGAAAGGACACGCAGGTAACACACACATGTACACATACACACCCCTACTCACCACACACACCCAAGGCACACACGTTTGCAGTATAAGCCCACACTTGTTCAGAAAGCTCTGGCCTACCTGGGGCCAGAGGAAAGGACACTTCAAAAGGATTCCTCAGGATTGGCCAATGTCCGACCCCTACCTCAGTGTCTACTCCTTCCCTCCCCTCACCAGCTCCCCAATGCTCAGTAAGGAATCGACTGTTGGAAAGTCCCTGCAGGAGCCCTCAGACCCAGCTGCCTGCCAGGAAGTGCTATGGTCTGGTCATTCTCCCTCCTCATCTGGCTGCCTCCCAGTTCCTCCTCCCTAGGGCTGAGGTTCTCAACTCTAAGGGGCTCCTCTCAGCTCTTGGTGCTGTATACTCTCCTGGTCCCAGAGGAGAGCAGGTAAGGCTGCCCATCCTCTCTCGGGCCATGGGAGTCATGTCAGGGTAGCCCCTTTCTCAGCCACCCTGCTCCCCCCATCCGGGGCTCTCAGAGCTTGCTGAGGAACTGGGCATACTGGGATGTGCTTCTAGGAACATGTGTGACCTCCGTCTTCACCACTCAGTCCTTTGGGGCAGAGGCAGTCAGTGTTGAGTGCCCATCCAAGGAGATGGAGCTCTTCATGGTGAGGTGATCCCTGGGGTCCTGCTGGGGAAGAGATGCTGCAACAGAAGCTCAGCAGGCAACTGGGGCTGGAGAGAGCTACTGTTGGGGTGCTTGGGCTCTGACTTGGGGTCAGAGGGCTCTGGGGAGGACAGGGTAAAGGAGACCAAGAGGCTAAAGGAAAGACATGTGGGCACTGCTTGACCCAAACACCAGGTCCCTGTGGGGTAAAGAGGGAAGCCCCAGCAGTGCCAGGCTTCCCTGACTGATAGCCCTCCAAAAGTCTAGTATAGCTCTATAGCCAGAAGCAGTCATTCTGTATTGCGGAACTCTCATGACTCCAACAAGTCTGTGAATCTTCCACCAACTCTACCTTCCTGTTCCTTTTCTCCCTCACAGATGATGCCCACAGACACGGAGACTACAGATGTCAGTAAGGTGGCCCATGAGGCCCCACAACCCACCCACATCAATGTGCACATCTACCAGGAGTCTGCTCTGGCCAAACTCCTGCTGGCTGGATGCTCAATGTTACGCCTGCCAGACTCTGCCTCTGGTACCACCCGGCTGCTGGTGGCCTCCTGGGTAGGTGGTGCAGATCGTGCTGGGGGTCCTGAGCGGGGTCCTAGGTGGACTCCTCTACATCTACCAGTTCTCCCACATTCGCACAACGGGCGCCCCCATCTGGACCGGGGTTGTGGTAAGTGTGGCAGCATGATAGTCCATGGCTATCAGGGGGGACAGGGATGCCTCTCAGGTTGCTTCCTTCACACTACCACCATCGATCGGGGTATTGCAGAACGCATGCAGGCAAAAAGACCCGAGTGATGTAGACCAGTTGTCTGTGCAAAGGAAAGGGAGGGGAGGGAAAGGGCTGCTCCTGCTCTCACCGCTCAGCTCTTAGCTCTCCTGCCTTCCCAACCAAGCTGGCAGCCACTTCCACACCCCCATCTGGACTGGGGTTGTGGTAAGTGTGGCAGCATGATAGTCCATGGCTATCGGGGGGGACAGGGATGCCTCTCAGGTTGCTTCCTTCACACTACCACCATCGATCGGGGTATTGCAGAATGCATGCAGGCAAAAAGACCCAAGTGATGTAGACCAGTTGTCTGTGCAAAGGAAAGGGAGGGAAGGAAAAGGGCTGCTCCTGCTCTCACTGCTCAGCTCTTAGCTCTCCTGCCTTCCCAACCAAGCTGGCAGCCACTTCCACCATCAAAAGCAATTATCAACCAAGGCTCTAAAGGCTCACCTACCTCTAATGCCTGAGACAAGATGGGGGGAGGTGGAACATGCCAGAGCAGGACATCACTTCCTGCTTCTCCCACTGGCCTCTGCTCATCCTGTGGGAATCCAAGAACAAATGCTGACAGATGAGTGCCGCAGTCTCTAATAGGAGCTTGGTAGGCTGAGTAGGGTAGGAGCAGGAGCCATCAGACAGACCCAGACTCTCAGAACAGCAAACCATGTAGATCTGTTGAGAATAGATTAAAGTAGCCATCCTTATCCATCCAACGGCAGAAACACATGAACTAGTTATAGGACCGCCAAATAGAATCAGGGCCCATGTGTCCACTGGGTTGCACTAGACCTCCTGTCCTTCAGTCCTAGTCAGGTGGACTGGATGACTGTTAGGACAAGTGTCTGGGCTGGAGGCTGCCTCAGGTTTCATCGTTTCATCGTGCATTGACCACTGTTCCAACAACCTGGACAACTTCCACTCAGAAGATTCCCCCATTCCTAGAACTTTCATGAAGAGCCCAGTGCTACTTTAAAAAGAAAGTGGTGGGGATGGGAAGAGAAGGTTCATGCCTGCCTTGACTGTGAGCACTTTTAGATGTCCCTAAGACAGTGTCCTGCAGCTTCACTTGTTTGCTCTGGGCTTACTACCCCAGACCGTCACCTTACCACAGACAACATCTGGGATGCAGTTGGAATGTACTAGAGAAGACCACCATGTGGCAGGTTCTACTGATGGGAGTCACAGGGGCACCGAGGCCCAGGGTTGGAGGAAGCTTGCATTCCCTATGCTGGTTCCTCTGACTCAATCTCTCCCCAGGCTGTGCTGGCTGGAGTTGCTGCCTTCCTTTATGAGAAACGTGGAGGGATCTGCTGGGTGAGTTCAGGAGATGGCAAGACCCAGGCTCTGCTCAATGCCAAGCCAGACCTCCTGCTCCATCACACACAGGCCCCACTGGGCTCTGAGTAAAAGTGAGTTCTCGGTCTCTTCCCTCCCAGGCCTTGCTGAGGACCCTTCTTGCACTGGCAGCCTTCTGCACGTCTGTGGCCGCCATTGTAATTGGGGCTTGTTATTTCGATTATTACAACTACTACTTTAGAGATGACTCTTGCAAGATCTCCTCAAGTTTTGAGCCCACCAAGCTCCCCACCACCCCAAGTCCTGAAGAAGTGGACAGGATACACCTGTGTATGTCATACATGAGCATGTTAAAGGTAGGTGACCAGGGGGAAGGGCAACTGAAGATGGTAACATGGAGGACTAAGATGAGAAGGAGCAGGGTCTCCGTCAGCAGTAGGTTTCCCCTAATCCTGATGATTGTTGCTTAAGATGCAGGGATGAGCAAAACATAGTCTGCTCCCGCTACTGTGGGTATTGCGTACTACTGAGAAATGAATATTGCTAGCCATGAGTGAACCATGCACATGGCAAGGGCTGCCAGTGTGTTAAATATATGTCCCCCACCGACCTTCTCAACTCCAGGAGGCTGTCAATCACATCACAGCCCAGGCTGTGGGAAACTGAGGTAGGTGGGAAAGGTTTCTGATGAACTCTACCCATTGGACCCATGATCCCTACACATCCCAGAAGCCACAGACTTGAAGGGTTGGAGAGTGAGCCCTGTCAGTGGAAGTGGGCAGGGTCATGACCATCATTCTAGGAGCACTGGATTTTGCCCTCTGTCAACAGGCCCTGCTAATAAGCCTCCACACGATGCTCTTGGGTATGTGGGTCTTGCTGCTCCTGGCATCTCTGGCCCCTGTTTGTGTGTACTTATGGAAAACATTCTTCACTAAAGAGGTGAGTGTCTGTGTGTTTGGGGACAGCAGGCTGTTCAGAGGAGATGGGAATGGAGACTAGATGCTTAAAGAGAAGAAAAAGGTTCATTGCATGAGACCTAGGCAGCATCATGCCTGTCCTTCTGCCTCAGACAGTCCCAGTTCCCAATCACTGTCCCCAGCCAAAGATCCCAGGAAGCCAGGAAAGGTCATATCCATGTGAGGTCTCTGGGGCTCTCTGCCATTCAGCCAACTGCCAAACATTTGTTTTCTTACATCTGAATACAGAAAGCAGGAGTGTGCCCTGATCCAGAACTGACAGGTAGCAGAGACTCCTGCCTTTCCCTTCATCTCCTAGTTACCAACGTCTTGCCTCTGCTTTTCCTTAGAGAACAGCTGAGAAGAAGCTGTTGGAAGCAAGTGGGGTCTAGCCCCACCTCTCCTGAGCACCTGTGCTGGTGCCCCTAATCTTCAGGGTGTCCCATCATTGGCTGCCTGGAATAAAAGCCAGAAGACAAAAGAAACCCTTCCAGAGCCGGTTCCCACCTCCCACAGCCACACCCACTGCCCTGCTCCAACCAGGATCACAACAGCACGTGCTTGTCTCTTGTTCGCCCCCACTATCCTTTATCCCTTCTCACACAGCGACTTGAAAATAAATTCTCAGGTTATTGCTACCAGATTCTTGCTTCCTTGTTCCAGAGAATGTCCACTGGCTGGAGCCAGGGGAGCATAACCAGAGCTCCAACCCTTTGGGGGACTAGAATTATGCAACTGGAAAACAAAGGACTGGGTATACAGGGTAAAGGGAGCCAAGACTGCTCCCTGCACTCAGATCTAAGAAAGTAAGTGCTTGGCAACTGTATGAATGGGTTTTTATTTTGACTCTTGGGCAAAATTAAGAAGCAGGCAATATAACACCAGGATAAAGTCATTTCAGAAATCCCATTTATTTATTTGGGGATTGCTTGGGACAGAGTCTTACTATGTATCCCAGGGTGACTTACACTCACAACCTTCTGCCTCTACCTTGAGTACTTGATTACAGACTTGTACCACCATGCCTAGCTCTTTTTCAAGATAGGCCATCTAATGAATAGTGAGATAAACCTAGAGTAATCATCCCCAGGGGAAAAAAATTTCTAAAACCTCAGACAACATAGGACTCATACATTTTTTAATTTCTAACTATTCTACCAAGAAAGTGAGGGGCACCTATCAAGGCCATAACGGGAACAGGAGCGTGAGTCCAGAGATCTGAGTCTAGAGTCTACCTGTGCCAGGGTTCCAGGAGCAACCACACACTTGGGGTTCCCCTAGAAGGGCCCACGGGGCTCAGCATATGTCTGTATCCTAATTTATTATAGCAAAAAGATAAACACCAGAATCAACAGGCAGAAAGGCGTTCTAGGTGGACTCCAGGGAAAACCCAGCATGGCTTTTCACACTCCTCCCTGGTAACAGGCCACACATGAGCTTGCCTACTGCTGCTCAGAGAAGCGCGTGTGAGGCTCTGAGGTCAGAGACTTTACGAAGTGCTGGCCACATGGATGATCTCTCCACCTGAACAGCTACTGCCATTCAACACTCCCAGTGATAACAGCAGTATCCTCCGCTCTGAGGTCAGAGACTTTACGAAGTGCTGGCCACATGGATGATCTCTCCACCTGAACAGCTACTGCCATTCAACACTCCCAGTGATAACAGCAGTATCCTCCTAAAATCACATTGTTGACATAAGCTAGGCAAGCCCAGTCAGTGGAATTTGGTGCCTAGGTGCACAAACCTACTGTTGGCAAAGGGAAATTCCAAAAGTCAAACTTTGAGAAGACAGTCACAGAAGCCTTCTGTGAAGAGGATGGAGATGGAGAGGAGGGTGTTGAGACAGCTCCTCCTCTGCCTGAGGCCAAGAGTGCTGAAGAAGGAGAAAGAATAGGAACAGGAGGAAGAGGGGAGGAGGAGGGGGCAGTGATAATGTTGATGCTGATACCAAGCATCAACAGAAGACCCATGAGGCTAAATAGCAAAAACAGGCAAAGTTTTAAAGACTGAAAGGCTGTCAGAGAGGAAGAGGAGAGATAAATAATGATTAGCCTGAATAAAAAAACAGGGGGAATTATATTAGTCCCAAAACCTACTGAAAAATTACATATATAATATCTCTACATGAGTCCATGTGTATAACTGAAGGCTACATAACAAGAAACAGTGCCAGACAGGAGAAACCTTCCTTTCAATTGTTGGCCAGGGTAGTCCAAGAGACTCCCAAAATTATACAGGCTAGTTCACAGCCCTCGATGGCCTCCCAGAACCTAAAGGTAAGACCCTATTGCTGAAAACAGGACATTCTTTGAACACAAGATTTGGAGCAATGGAGTTGGAACTGAGCTGGAAGCCTCCCCCCCTCCCCCCGACACTCACACACCCCATAGTTTTGGAGACCACTACATAAGCTGGTAAGGGAACTTCCTCGTATGAACTTACAGCAATGGTTTTAGCATTCACAAGACCCATGCAAACTCCAAGCAAGCAAAAACGCAGCACAGAACTGTGGCAATCTTAGTTGAAAAATTATTGGCAGCTGCTTATGGCTGGGTAAGGAAGAGCTGATCTTCTTAAAGGGAGGGACTCTAGATACGCTGATGACCTCAGTGGATGAACTTGCACTGAGGGACATCTGGACACATTAACTTGTTAAGGATAGGCCTTAACACAAATGACAGAATGTATGAATTCCAGTGGGGGGGCTGTTGGGAGGGAGCTAATGGGGAAGGGGGCATAAAGATGATTTAAGATGTTCTATATGAAATACACAAAACTTCAGTAAAAAACCTGACAGGCTGCTGGGACCTTTTCACCCTTCACCTCCCATCTCAGAATCTAAATGTGGTCACCAAATACAGAGGCCCACCTGTCCATCAAGGCTGCACCACCTGCAGATGACACACAATCTCTACCACCCCACCAACACCATGCCATGAATTTGCCATGAGAGAGGGAGAGAAACCAAATATTCCAAAGTATTTCATTTATATTTTGCATGTTTGTACACACTGACAGAGGTCATGACTCTGATGACCAAACCGGCCCTCACAGCACTCTCTGGTTCTCTGTTCTACTTCTTTGTTTGTTTTGTTTTGTTTGAGACAGGGTCTCCCTGTAGCCCCAGCTGGCCTGGAGTTTACTATGTAGACCAGGCTGGCCTCAATCTTATAGAGATCCACCTGCCTCTGCCTCTTGAGTGCTGGGATTGAAGGCATCACCACCACCACGTCCAGCTTCTGTTCTACTTCTTTATTTGTGCTGTGACCATGTCCATAATCTCAAAGAAAAGAAATTTGTGTGTGTGTGTGTGTGTGTGTTTTATGTGTGTGTTTTGCCCGCATGCATATAAGTGCATCTCGTTCATTCAATGCCCGTGGAGGCCAGAAGAGTACCTTGGGTCCCCTGGTACCGGATTTATGGACAGTTGTTAGCCACAATCTGGGTGCTAGGAATCGAACCTGGGTCCTCTGCAAAAGCAGTCAGTGCTCTTAACCACTGATCCATCTCTCCAGCACCCACCCACACATTTTTAAAAATAATTTATTGAGAATTTCATACATGCATATAAGGTGTTTAAGTGTTTTGATCAAATCCACGCCAACTCCCTCCCCTCCAACTCCTCCCATATTTCCCCATACCTTTTTTTCTGACAACTTAATGTACTTTTTTTTTTTAATGGGGCTTTTTGCTACTCTAACATTCCCCCTCTGAAGAGGTAACCCTAAAACTCTTTTAGGGAATAGATAAGAGCTTCCAAATACTTTTGACATTTTTGGCCTTTGGAACAGAGTATGTTACTAAGAGGCCCAAGGATATTTTGACTTTTGGCCAAGAAACTGGTATTTTTCTTTGGGGTCTTTTTACACTAACTGCCTAGCCACTTCCTACCTCCTATTCATATCATACCATCCTCTGAAGGGGTTATCCAAATTGCCAATAGGGAATCAGGACACAGACCACTCTGGCTTCTTCCATGCTGAACAGGGATGCAGGATGAGGCAATTGGAGTACCCCTTCAGTGGGTCTATCTAAAAGACTCCCAAATTGCATAACTTTTTAAAATATTTTACTTATTTTTTTTATAAAAATTTTATTGAGAATTTCATACATCCATATGAGGTGTTTTGATCAAATCCATGCCCACTCCCTGCCCTCCAACATTTTTAAAGCCTCTTTTCTATGCTTCCTGTCTGCCAGAAAATGAAGAACACCTTCGCCACAACAGAGTCCCAAATGAAAATATGACCCTCTTCCTTCAAACTTCTAGAATAGGCGTTACTGAAACCTATCAAGATTAGCCGTGGGGCTGAGCTGTTGCCAACACTGCAGAAGATGTGGTCTTCAGTGCACAGGAGCAGCAAGGGCCGGATCGCTGGCAGACGGCTATTATTCCCCGAGTCCAGAGTCCAGGTGCTTATCTGTAACAGGTGTCCTGGATGTTAATTAGGTACATAAAGTCTCAGGATAAAGATTAGACTTCCAACCTCAGTTGGTGAGTTCATTGTAGCTTAAACAGACTTAAGTAGTGTGTTTACATCTTGGGTGCACACTCCGGAGATGGGCGGTCCCCTGTCTCCTGTGCTTTCTTCCTGGTGCTCAGAATACAGATCTGGTGGCAGGCCCTGCAGCAAGCCATATTAAAGTGATTTTTCAATGGAGAGCAACAAGAGAGGAAAAGCATGATCCACACACAACATTCAGCATGGGATGCCTAGCTAGATGTTTGTGTGAGAAAGAAACATGTCAGTTTGCATGTTCTGTCCTCACAGCCAGATGTCATTATAATGCCTTTTCACCCTGCAAACTAGTACAGCCGTGCTTCTTCAGTCATCACAGTGTAGACAACACCCATCACTTTAAACAACGAATGTCCTCCAGGGCAGACGCTGAAGAGCCTGATGACAGCAAGCTGGCCATGGTAAGTGCCAAGGCAAAAGTACTGAGTGGATACAACAGAAGTCAAAAAGAAAAAAAGACTGTGGCCCACCAGCACTAGGACAAAAGAGAGACCATCAAATTCTCACTTTATTTTACTTGTGTCCACCAAATGCACAGACCTCCCTGTCTGCCACCTAGATCCTCTGAGGACATTCATGTCACCCTGTGGGAGTCTTCAGCCCCTCCTAGTACAACAAACAGGAGGGCAGCCATGGTGACCCACTGGCCACCTACCTTGCAGTCCCCAGTACAGACCCAACAGCCACCTCAAATATGAGCTCCTAGACTGGCACGTAACCTCGCATTGCTTCAGTACTCATGACTCATAGGAAAGCTAGACTCTGTCTCTGACCTTCATTTAGGAACAGTCACCTTGACCTTTTCAGACACTCACAGCTGTGTGCTCGCTTGTCCCGGCTTCAATATCAAAGGATGTGTGGCTTATATCTACACATCACACAGCCCCAAAGAAAAGCAGGGAATGAGTAACATGAAAGTCAGGATAGTAATTTCCTGTCACAGGGGTAAGTGGGAAAGGGAAGAGATACGTCTGTGGAATCACACAGGGGTCCACAGTAGTGGGCACCACCTCGCTCTTAACTCAGGGGATGCATATTGTTATTAACAAAACTTGTGCACACACGTATGTCATAATCACACTGCACATCTACTCACCACACATTGCAACTCCCTGTGTTA